AGAAAAGGCCACGTGAGCACAGCAAGAAGCCAGGAAGAGAGCCCCTCAACAGATAGCAAATCTGCCAGCACCCTGATCTTGGACTTCTAGCCTTCAAAATTTTAAGAAATAAATTTCTGTTGTTTAAGCCACCCAGACTTTGGTTATTTTGTTACGGTGTTTGAGGAGACTAAGACAAGGAGAAATGAAAAATTCAATTTCTGTGAGACATCAATCATGAAATTACTGGGAAGAAAAGCACATTATTGGAGCACCTGGGTGGCTCAGCTGGTGAAGCGTCTGCCTATGGCTTGGGTCATGATCCCAGTGTTCTGGGATGGAGCCCCACAGCAGGCTCTCTGCTCAGCAGGAAGCTTGCCTCTCCCTTCCCTCTGCCCCCACCAGTGCTCTAGTGCCGTCTCTCTAAGAAATAAATATTTAAAAAAAAAAAAAAAGAAAGCACATTATTTTTATAGCTCTACTCAAATGGTAGCACCATGTACAGCATCAGCAGCAAACACCCAACAGAAGTCCACTAAGACATCCACTTAGGAGAAAAGAAACCCAGAAACAAGCAAATGGAAAGACAGACTATTACAAGGGATGTAGCAACACACAGCAATCATAGGCTACCTGGAACCCCTGCCCTAAGACCAGGAAGAAAGCTTTCCTACTACCAGAATCAACCACTAATATGAACAACGGCCGAGTCGAATTCACTATACCAGATTTATGATTCAATGGTCAGAAGCAGTTAGCTAAAAAAAAAAAAAAAAAAAAAAAAAAAAAAAGCAGTTAGCTAGCCATATAATAATCACACGCCAATATTTCACTGCCATAAAGAATTTTGCTGAAAGCTGTCAGGAATAATTAAGGTGCTCCTTGCCTTATTTATACAGCAGCTAAATTCCTAGAAAGTTACACAAAACTGTATTTTTGTTCGTCAGATTGTTTATAGTCACTACAAGAGCTGACCGAAAGCATTCACTCACCAGTATGTTTTATAAAGCCCAAGTTTCACACATATCAGACTTGCTTACATAGTGAAATGATATACCTATACCTATACCCGTAACTCATTTAGCTTTCCACCAGGCTGGAGTACAGTATTTCCAGCACCCTCTTTAACGACTAACCACATTTCTCAAATCATATTTCAATTTTCAGGTTGAATGTCTCTTCCCTCTCCCCCCACTCAGGGTTCTCTATTCCTATACTGTTTCCAGAGCTGTACTAACTCCTCTTCTGTCCACATAAAGCTTCTGAATACTGCCCTTGAAAAGTACGATCCTTCCTCTCTCCCTCATGGTTCCTACTTAGCAGAATGATTATAACATAAGCACCACAGGCTCTCTCATGTCCTCTCTACCACACTTTGGGAAGTAATGATTTACTCCCAAAGCTTCCTGGCTGTAACTCAACAGAGTCCAGCTTTGGAATCTACAGCTTCAAGTTGTAGTTACATTTAGTAAGCAGCCTTGGAAATTTAACCCCAGTAAAGGACTTCTTTCTGTAAAAAAAAAAAATAATAATAATAATAATAATAATCCTTTGACACTCAGAAGATTCAGGAATTTCATAAACGAACTCTCACCCCTGAATTCCATGACTTTTTCCATCCCTTAATCATTTGTAAAACATAAATTTCAACTTCACAAGGCACCGAGCACTTACTATGTACCCAAAACAAAAGATAGAACAAAGAAAATATAGTTCCCGTCTTCTAGAAGCTTACAGTCTCACTAGGGAAATAAGAATAAAAAAAGGGACAACACAAGATGATGCATAATTAAGCATCAATGCAACAGGAGGCCAGAAGGGAGCCTGACTGGTGTGAACTAAGTCATGAGGGAAGGCTTCCTGGAAGGAGCTATGGCTCAGGATATGGCCTCAGAAAAATTCCATTTGTGTTAAGCTATAAAAAAAAAATATATACTATTTTTTTCACACACACCATATACTAAAAGGGTTGGCTACTCTAGGTTTTTTAAGTGTGTATCTGTATTGGGCCTACAGGCATTTCCACACAGCCACAATCACCTTCTAAGACTACCTTTCCCCTGCTCCTCCTGCTCCAGCTCCACTGGCCTCTTCTTCTCAAGTGCACTTCTTTCTCAGTGGCCCTGCACCCACAGTTCCTCCACCTGGACCCCTTTCCATCAAGTATCTGAATGGTCCATCCCCTCCCTTCACTTCATTCTAAACCCACCTATCAGAGAGGCCTTCCCTGACCATCTTCTTCACTCTCCATCCCTCCCTCTGCTTTATTTTACTTTTTGGCACTTACCACCCCATAATAACAGTTGTTGATTTGTTTACTGTCTCTTTCCACGAGATTATTATTACATGAGAGCAAAGTCTTTGTTTATTGCCGTGTGTCCTAGGCTCTAAAAGAGCCTGGCACATAGCAGCTGCTCAATAAACATTACATAAATGAGTATTAAATATCAATATTAGCTAAATGAGTATTAAATAATAATAATTATTATCACAATGATATAGCAAAGTGCTACAAGTGTGGGTCACTGAGTGTCAGATTCTATCTTTTCAGGAACATTACTTCTCCTTTACTCAGATTATACCTCAAATTTCAGCCTTCCCATAAAGCCTCCCTTGACCATTTCAGCAGGAATGACCTTCCCCTTCATCTAGCACAAATCCTCTGCATACTTTGGCTCTAAATTATGCAATGACTTATAACATGCATCCACCCTAGGGTATCTCTGCTCCTGTTCCTCTGAAACTTACACACATACACACAAAACCACACATACACCCACACACACGTGCACTCTTTTTTTTTTTTCTCACCCAGTTTTGTCTTCTCCACCCAGACTAGAAACACCAAGTACACCTTCAGATCAAGGAATCTGATGCTTTTTTTTTTTTAAGAGATAATTTAGAAATCATCGTGTACAAGCAAGCCTTTTCTTTTACAACTAAGGACACAGAGTCCCCCCCCCAAAAAAAAACAGTGATTTTTCCCCGAAGTGTACAGCTAGTTGAAGGCAGAGGGCTAGATTAATGATGATCTGAACACCTGTGTGACATGGTGTGTCAGAACTACAGCAATGATAATGCATGACCTGAAAAATAAAGATCCACAAATGCACAGAGTGAAAAAAAGATTCTCTGTGCGATAGTTCTAAGTTGCCCATTTGTACCCAAAGAGCCTAATCCAACTCCTTCCTCTGCATACTCCAAAGTCCCTATGCGATGCTCCATTTCCAGATACTACTATCCTTAGCCAGTTTGAAGCCAACCAGCAAATAATGGGCCCCACGGGGGGAAAGGAGAGGAAAGGGAGGGGGGAGCCTTAGAGTTAACAGTGATTGACAGAAACAATGAATGAATACAGACCGCCACGAATGTAGGCACACACCAAGCGGAGGCCAAGGGGTGACTGGAGGCCACATCCAGTCACCCCTTCTGATCAGCTCATGTTAATCCACCTCACCTGAAGTCTCCCCACGTTCTTGATATTTTTTCCATGGCCCTGAGCTTTTACTTCTCACAATCCCTCTGCCTGACACAGTTCTGATGGAGAACAAAAGCAGGCAAACAAAACAAAAGAATTCAAAAACAAACAGCAAGAGGGTCACTTTATCCAAATCAACACAAGTAACTGAGCGGCCTCTGCAGAGGAGACCCGTAAGCACACAGCAAACATGCCAAGCTCAGATACAGCTCGGTCTCTAACACAGGAAGTCAGGCAGAGCCTTGAAAAGCAGGGAGCAGAGCACAGGAAGTCTTTTAGCACTGCAGGGATTTCCAAGAGTGGTGTAATGGAGAGAGCACAGGAATAGGAATTAGAAGAGGAGGCTTCTAGTTCTAGTTTTGCTACAAGCTAACTGGGTGGCCTTAGGCAAGTCACTAGTCTTCTCTGGACCTCTGACTCCCCATCTACAAGATGTGGTGGCTAAAACATTTTGAGGCTTGGACACTCCTCCCCCCCGCAAAAAAAAAAAAAAAAAAAAAAAAAAAAAACACACACACACACACACACACAAAGAGGAAAACAATTGACTTCCCCCACACACACCAAAAAGTGCACGTAAACTGTTCTGCCTAAGAGTCTTCCGAGTCCATCCAGGTCAAGAACTTCTAGAAAAGATGATGTCTCTGGTCCCTTCCATCTCTAACATTCTATGATTCTAAGAGAATTAGGCAGATGTGTAAACAACGGGTAGGTGAGCTCCACCATTTCGCAGCGAGTATTTTCAGAACAGAGACCAGATCCTAAAAGGTCCGAAGGTTTCAGCTCCTGCTGGAACTACGGAGTCAACTGACACCACTACGTTTCCCACTCCCTCCGCGATCAGCCAGCTTGTCCTTGAGTCCACAACTCCGAGCCCGGTCTCCCAACGGCCCTAGGAGTCTTGTCCGGCGCCCCGGGACGTTGGGCAGCGGCTGGGGGTCCTCGCCCGCGTTGGAAGCGACTGGCGGGGCGAGGCGAGGCGAGGCGGGGCGGGGCGGGGCGAGGCGGGGCGGGCGCGCTCGGCTCGCGGGGCTGCGGACCCCCGCGGCACGGTGCCCACCCACCGCCCGGCTGCCGGCGCCTCCCGCCGCCCACGAGCTGAGCCGCATCCCCCGGGCCCTCGAGGAGCCTGGTCGCCTCCGCGGCCCGGCCCCGGCCCCGGCCCCGGCCCCGGCCCCGGCCCCGGCCCCGGCCCCGCGTGCGCCGAGCGCTGCCCGAGAGGTACTTGTCGGGAGGCTGCCCGGCCCTCGACGCCCCGCGGCGGCCCCCTGGGCAACTGAGCCAGGACCCGCGGCTCCCACTGCAGCCCGAGGAGCCCAGGAAGGGGCCGAGACGGGGAACCCGCCTCGACCGTGCTCGATCCCCGCCAGAACCCGCTCGGCCGCCGGGCCCCCGGGCCCCCGGGCCCCCGCGCCCCCGCACCCCCCGCCCCGCCCCGCCCCGCCGCCGCAGGCCCCGGCCGGCCGCCTCCCACCTCCACGCGGCCCCCCGCGCCCCGCCGCCCCGGCCCCCGCCGTCCCGGGGCGCCGTCCCGCGCGGTCACCTGCATCCCGCCGCCGCCGCCGTCGGCCGCCGCCTCCTCGGTGCGCGGCCGCTTGCTCAGGCCGGGCTCGGCTCCGTCTCCTCCCCCTCCGGGCACCGGCAGCTCCAGCTCCGACTCCCGCTTCATCCCCCGGGCAGCGGCGCCGGGCCCGAGCTGCGGCGGCTGCTGCGGCTGGGCGCCTTCCGCCATCCGCCCGCGCCCCCCTCGCCTCCGGGAGCCGGGCGACCCGCGACAGGCCACCTCCCCCTGGGCCTCGGCCCCGACTGTCGCGACAGGCGGGCGCGCGCCTCCCCGCCCCCGCGTGCGTGCGTGTGCGTGCGCGCGGGCCCGGCGCCCCTCGGCGGCTCGGCGGCTCGGCGGCTCGGCGGCTCGGCGGCTCGGCGGCTCGGCGGCTCGGCGGCCCGGCGCTCGGGGCTCCGCGCTCGCACACGCGCCCCCGGCCCGGCCCGGCCCGGCCCGCCGCGCCCCGCCTCTCGCACTCACGGAGCTCGCCCGCCGGCCCGCGCCCGCTCCTTCACACTGCCCCTCGCCACCCGCCGGGCCGGGACGAGCGGACTGGCCGGGAGCCGCCGACCCGCCACTGTGGCAGCCCCGGGAAGGCGGGCGCAGAGAAAGGAGGAGGGAGGGACCGAGCGCTGGGACTGCAGCCCGCGCGGGAGGCCGTGGCGGGGCGGGGGCGCCGGCGGCGGCGGCGGCGGCGGCGGCGGCGGGGGCGGGGGCGGCGGCTGCGGCTGCGGCGGGGGCGGGGCCAGCGCCCCTCGGCAATCTCCGCCGCCTCCGCTCCGGGCGTCCGAGGGAGGCCGGGAGGAGATCGGGGGAGCTCGGGAATCTCCGGCCCGGGCGACGGCCAGTCCTGGAGGCGCCGTGCCGCGGGCGTGCCGGCCCGCGCGGAGGGGGCGGGGTCTGCGCCGGGGGGCGGGGCCACGGCCCGGGGGGCGGGGCCACGGCCCGGGGGGCGGGGCTTGAGTGGCCGAGCGCCCGGGAGGGCGGGCGGTGCGGAGCGGTGACCTGAGTCCGCCCAGGTAGCCGCCTTGGTTCCGGGCGGGGAAGGAGGCGCTCGGTGGAGGAGGAGGGCTCGCTGAAGAAAGGGATCTCGACTCGGAAGGTCCAGGAATGAAGCCACCGCTCCAGGGCTCTCTGCGGTCCTGAAACACTTTAAGAATTACTGTTGTCGCTTTCCTGGTCCTGTTAATAACACCCGGTGCTCGTAAGAGCTTTACAGCGACTCAGCGGGTGAGCGTCTGCCCTCGGCGCAGGGCGTGACCCCGGATCCCAAGATCGAGTCCTGCCTCGGGCTCTCCGTAGGAAGCCCGTTTCTCCAGCTGCCTGTGTCTCTGCCTCTCTCTCTCTCTCTCTGTGTGTGTGTGTGTGTGTCTCTGATGAATAAATAAATAAAAGTCTTTAAAGAGAGAGCTTTACAGTTCGCACAAGGTGTCCACAGACCCTTTCAAAGCTGTTGGTGTAAGCAGAGTAAATACCACGATCTCCATTTCATTGATGATGGACCTAAAGCTTAGTTAAGTCCTGTATCTAAATACTGGCGGATCCAGAGCTCAGGCACCAGATCATATTCTCCTCCTCTGCGCCTTGCTGTCTGTGCAACACTTTATTGCTTCTCAGCGTTGTGCGATTGGAGATAAATGTGCAATAGTTTTTCTATCCTACCAGACTGTAAGGACCAAGAGGGCATCTACTTCCTCTGAGTTCCACGTATGCTCTGTACATTATAGGGGTATGGTGATGCTTTGTGAATAACCTGGATTCTGCTAACTAGCTTAAACAACTTTTTTGACCTCTTTGGACCCCCACTCCACCATTTGTAAAATGAGGAGATGGTTTGGATCAGTGGTTGGCAACCAGGGCGATTTTGCCCCTTCTCCTCCGTCCCAAGACATTTGTCAACATCTGGAGACATATTTGTTTGTTACAACTGAGGGATGAGGGGAGTGATCCTGATAATCTAGTGGGTAGAGAGGCCAGGAACACTGTGCAATATGCTGCTGTGAACAGTTATCCAGCCCAAAATGTCAATAATATTGAGGTGGAGAAACCCTGCGTTAGATGATTTGTAAGGTCATTTCCATTTGGGTCTATGATTTGTCCTTTGAACTTGGGTTTAATCTGGCCGGTTCTGAAGTAGTACAGTGGTAAAGATCCCTGCTTTGGAGTCAGACCAACACAAATTTGAGTCCAAGCTTCACCACCTACTATGCTTGTGATGCTGAGCCAGTGATGACTTAAGAATTTCTATACAGAAGGGATTTAGGGCCCGCACATTGCTTGGAAAGGAGGACTAAAGGGATTGTCTTGAAGCAGAGTTTTCATAGCAAGCACGTTTTTTTTTAAACCTAAGCTGTGTTATAGATCATCAATAAAAATAGCCAAATTTTAGCTCTGCCACTTATAAGTCATGTTTGCATTGTAAAAACTGCCTAGCCTCTCTATGCCTCACTTTCTTCATCCAAAAATTAAGAATACTAATACTACCTCCCTCAAGGGATTATTGTGAGGCTTAAAGGAGTTATCACACATTAAGAACTTCAAACAAATTGCCCCACAGTAAGTACTCAATGTTAGCTATTATTATTATTACTATTACCATGATCATTTTATTCACATTTTAAATGAGAGTGAAAAAAGTTCATGATCACAATCAAAGACTATCAGTATCACTACTATGGGTTTTTTAATTTACATAAGATAGTTTCTTTGTGGCTGCTAGAGATTAAGATAGGCAGACAGAGTTCCCCAAATCACCCCTTGGTGCAACCGCTGCGTTGGGCAAATCATTTTCATCAAGCCTTATATTCCTTGTTTGTAAGATGACAATAACAGTCGCAGTGTTGTTCTAAGGATTAAATGAGACAAAATAAAGCACTTAGCGCAGTGCCTAACATATAGTGACTGCTTAACAAGCAGTAAATATTTATCATCCAATTTGTTTAGTGATTGTAAGCTACTGGCCAGGGTCCCACGGGGCTGGAAAGAGAAGCCCGGTATCTCTTAATACTGCTACTTGAGCAGTATTAAATATTCCATTAAACTGGAAATCCAAATGCCTATGGCCTGTTCTTGAGCTGAGATAGGCAACCCCAACCTAAGTCAAGGATCCCTATTGGCAATACCCCCCACAGCTAATGGGACTTGAGCCTGTCCAACTAAGTGTTATAGCTCTGAAGAAAAATTAGGATATTTCATGGCCCGTGGAACAACTTTTTTTTTTTTTTTTAACCTAGGGACAAGTGGTTGGCTTTCTGAAAATTTTACCTTCCAAACTGGCTTCTTAAAAATTCTCATTCCCTCTCTACCTGCCTTGCCAAAGTACTGGAATCTAAATGATGCTAGATCCTTCCTGGCCTGTTCCATGACCCAGCAAGAAATGAGATTTGGGATCAGGGCTGCTTGTGACTCAAATTAGTGTTATTCAAGTAGCACACACGTCCCTAAGAAAAAGAGTGGTGTAGGATAGGAATGTTTGAATGACCAGACAGAACAAAGAGAAATTGGACCCTGCCCTGTAAATAAGCATTTAGGGAGAGAGAGACTAGAAGCCTGTAACTAGTAGAAGAGGCCAGAGGCGCCTACAGTGACACAAAGACCAGATTCATTTCTTGCATATATGTCTACAGCTGCCTGTTTGGAAACAGATTATAAAACATTACAGAGGATGAGGACAATTAAAGAATCTTTTCCTGGAAAGAATTTTTAGCTGCAGAAACTACTAAAGTCCTAACATTTGTTCATTTATCCATTTAACAAATATGGGCAAGAGTCTAGGATACCAAGATGAGCAGAATTGATTCCTGATATCAAGGAGCTCACATGCTGGGGAAGAAGGGATGAACAAACAGAAAGACAACTGTAACACATCATGATAAGGAAGTCCTCTCTCACAGCAGTCAAGGATATGGTCTCTGGTATCAAACAGACATAGATTGGCATCTGCCTTGGCCACATATCTGAACTTGGACAAGATCCTTGGCGTCTCAGATGCCAAGTTTCTTCATTTCTGTGACAAGCATGGTACATCCTAATCCAATATCCATCCTCCTCTCCTTCCTTACTAGTAGAACTCCAACTTTGTTCAGAGCAAGAATCTGCTTAGCTTTAAAAAAAGGAAAGAAAAAAAAAAAAGTTGAATTCTCAGGCTCCTGCTAGCTAAGGGTGACCATGTAACACCACTCCAGCCAGTGAAATGTAGGTAAGGGATGGTGTCCCTTCCCAACTAAGAAGACAAAGCCTCAAAAAAAAAAAAAGAAAAAAAAAAGGGTTCTTTGCCCTTCATCCTTTGCTGTTTACCCTTCCTTCTTCCTGGAACACAAATTGGAAAACAGCAGATGTCTTATCTCCACAGTGACAAAAGCCACATGCTAAGAATATTATGGAGCTGCCATAGCAGCCTTAGCCCATCTACCTCTAATTTATTATTATTTGAGCAAAGTAAATTCCTGTTTGATTAAGCCACTGTGAACAGGTTGCTACCTGCAGTCAAACTTAACTCCCAATTCATATAATCTATAAACTGAGAATAATAATAGTATCTCCCCCCCCCCCCGGGGTTCTTTTGAGCATTAAATAATGCATGCAAAGCACTTAACATGACACCTGGCTCATAGATACACTCAGTAAATGGTAACTTAGACCTCTTTACTACTATTATTCCCCCTTATTATCCTTATTAATATGATTAATATATGTGCCAGCAGCTCTAGGAGCATATAGGAAGATGGAACTCCTCCTGCCTGGGGGAGGGAGGATAAGCTTCATTGAGAATGTTATGTTTCATGTGAGTCTTTAAAAGTGAGGAGGAGTTTTCCCAGGATATGGGTTCTGATCAAAAATAAGCAAATTCTTTTGTGACTGCAAGGGCTTAAGAGGGATGAGGTACTGTTCACCAAGAGAAACATTTGTCTAGAAGGTAACAGCACTGAAATTGGGGTCATATCACTGGGAGGAGAGTCAGTACTGGCCATAGTCCTCACATTGAGACTGGAAGAGCTAGGTCGATGCCCAAGCTAAGTGGGTGCCTAAGCCCCTAGCCGCAGGGCTATTGTGGGGCCATCGGAAATGTGTAGTCCCACCCCCCTTATCTGTGGCTTTGCCTTCCACCATTTCAGGTACTCACGACCTGGAAGCAGAGGATCCCTTTTCTCATAACTTGTCAGATGCTACATTGCAACGCCTGCATCATTCAAACTTCACCACACTTCATCTCATTGTAGTGGCATGTTATCATTTCCCATCACTAAAAGAAGGGTGAGTACAGGACAATAAGATATTGTGAGAGAGAGAGAGAGAGAGAGAGAGAGAGAGAGAGACTAC